CTCCAGGCTGAAGTGGTGGAGACTCTCCTGTATGGGTGCGCCTCGTGGAGCCTAACAGCAGAGCACTACACGAAGCTTTATGGGACCCACCGCCAGTTCCTTACACGGTGCATCGACTGGAGCAAGCGGAAACGCTCCGACCGCCCCCTGTCCTATGCCCAGGCCCTCATCCAGGCAGGCTGCGAGGAAACCATCGAGGCCACCGTGCGCAATTGGAGACTGTGTTTCGCGGGCTTGTTATGCGCATGGAGGACAGCCGCCTCCCCAAGCGCATGCTGTTAGGAGCGATGGCGGGGGGCGTGGGATACCGGGGCGGGCAGGAGAGCGACTGGGTGTCTCGTCTAGGAGAGGACCTCGTGGCCTTCAACATGGGAGACGAAAAGGAAGGGGGGAAATGGAAAGAGAGCGCCAAGAACTCGGAGGTGTGGTACAACAAGGTCGAGGACGGGGCGGCATGGTTCATGAGGAAATGGCACAGGCAGGAGGCGGAAGCGTCCGCGAAGCGCCAGCGCGCGAGGGAAGCAGAAGCAGAGAGTACGGCCATCTCAGGACCGAAGAGAAAGAGAGTTGGGGAAGCGGCGGTGGGGGGGAAAAAACGGCGACGGGGCACTGCTGTAGAAGCGAGTAGGGCGGCCGAGGCAACGCTTGTGGCGAACTATGCACCCGGCTGATGTTTTTGCGCCCAGTTTCCCTCCCTGCTGTATGATATACCCCTTTATGTATGTCCTTTGTATTGCCTTCGGCCTCTGTGCTGTGTTTCTTTTTTTCATGACCTCCTTGCCTACTCGGCTGTGTTGGGTACCTTGATCTCGCTTTTGCTGTTGCCTTTGTTTTTGTACGTCTGGCTGTCTGCCCATCTGCCGCCTCTTTGTCCTGTTTGCTCCGTTACTCCCATGCCCTGGTGCGTAGTGCCTGGTGCTGGTACGTTACCCTTTGATTCTTTCTTTGGGCGGGTGTGAAAAGGGTCCTCCTTTATTTTTGTTTTTGTTTTATTTTGATCGGTTTCCGAGGGCTCTTTTCTCGAACGGTCGGTGCGGTACCTGTTCTTTTCTTTCTATCATTTTGTTTTCTTTTTCCTAGTGGTTTTTACCCTGTTTTTGTTTTGTTTCCCCGCGGCGCCGTATTTGCCGGGTTTTGAGACCACGGGCTCCCCATTTTTTGTGGACTATAGAGCTAATGTGAGAAACAACAACAACAACAACCTTCTGACCGACCCGCATCCTATCAACAATAAGATGCACCCTTTCATGCTAGCAGCCACACTGTGTGTTGTTGCTGTATGCGCGTCTTTTTGTTCTGTATGCGCGCCCGTTGGTTTTGTTGTCCGTTGTGTATCACGCTTTTTTTGTGGCGTTTGTCGTTAGTGCGCTGCTTGCCGGGCTTATAGGGCCGTTTTAAACGGACCGACTTTTTGTCGAAATTTTTGAAAGTGTCGAAAAATGGAACCCAAAGTGCTCCAAATACTTAGAGAGGGTTGTCAAAAAGTTGGAACGAAGTGGAGCAAAGTTTTCGCGCCCAACTTCGTTCCAAATATTTTTGAAAAAAATGGACAAACGCCTACATACAGGTTCCATTTTTTTGACACTTTCAAAAATGTTGACAAAAAGTCGGTCCGTTTAAAACGGCCCTTTTTACCGCGAGCATCTTCCCGTCCCTGGTATCCTCCCGTGCCGGTACCGAAGGGGCCTCGCATGTGTCTGATATGTTCCTCCGCGGTCGGTCCGCAGTCGGCAGTCATGGATACAGTAGCGGCTACGGTTTAAGAGAACTTATTAAAGAGAAAGTACGGATTTAAGAGAGAGGAATTGGCTTGTACCAATCCTCAAGCGGCGGCGGAGATTCTTCGATACCCTCCTGAACACCAAGTCCCCCACCCTGAACCCAGACGTTGTCGAACAGGTGACGCAGCGACCAGCGACGCGCGCCACCCGACGCCTGGCGGCGGTACCAGACCTCGAGGAGGTTGAGGTGGCAACGAAAGGTTTGGGGAACTGGAAGGCGGTTGGCCCCGACCTCCTTGCCGCCGAACTGCTCAAGGTCGACGGCGACGACGAGCC